ATTCTCACTAATCCGACAATTCCCCTTCTCAAATAACTAAATATTTAACCCGCTAACACTATCGTTTATTAAACAAAAACCTCATAAGAAAAAGTAGTTTTAATTCTAAATTTTAGATTTATTTTTTAGCATTATTTAATACATTAGTTTAATAATATAAACTGGGTATATAAATAAAAATAAAAACTTAAAAATACAATAACTAAGGCACCAACCAACCCAAAACGATTAATATCCTAGCTCTCTCCCTCTAATGGCTCCTAAAGAGAACTCATACTATTATTACACACTGTAATTACTAAGCAGACGAAACCTAGCAAAAATATTAAATTTTCATTAATTGTGAACTTGATATGGACAAAGTTACAGAATGGGGTGATAGTGAGAAAATAATAGCTTCTATTTATTCGATTCGAAAATAGCTTCTATTTAGAGAAAATAATAGCTTCTATTTATTCGATTTGAAAATAGCTTCTATTTATGAAGAAATACTTCAAAAAAGGAAATAATAGCTTCTATTTATTAATAATCCATAAAAATTCAAAAGTCATTTAACTAAATACACAGTCCACTAATTTTCACTAAACATTGTATTTCGTTGTAGTCACGAATATAGAACTCAGTTGTAGTGTCTAGGTAAGTCATTTGCTAAGTGTTAGGTTTGAATCCACTTATGCCTTAAAAAGATTTAATCCATACTTGTAGATCATTCGTGGCAGGACCTCTTATTGTAATTGCATCCGCCACAAAATTTGTTAGAATGAACGAACGTTTGCTAGGATAGTTTGGCTGCGCACCAGAGGATTGCCAGGATAGTTTGGATGGCCCGCCAAAGGATTCTCCACATGCTACGGAATTGGATTACCACGTATATCTAGAGAGTTCAATTTCTTCGCAACGAAGAACTCAATTCCAAAATTCATATGAGTTCCATCGCCTTTATTTATTTATTTTTAATTTCCTATTATTTAATAACCGTATGAATACTCCGTAATCCAAATTTAATATATATTTTTCTTCCGATTACGGTTAGTTTATGATGCCCCTAATTAGAGTATCCTTCAACTTCAATTCTTTTGTGCCCCTTTAGTATCTCCCGCTAGGGGTGGGCATAAAACCGCCAAATTGCAAAACCGCATCGAACAGTATGAAAAAAAACTGAAAAGAACCGTGTTGACCAGAAAAGTCAACTTTGAGTCAAAAACTGAACTGGACCGTTCAAACCAGTTTCGATTCTGGTTTCGAATGAACAAGAACTGGCTGGAATCGAACCGAACCATTTTATTAATAATAAATAAATAAATTATATATATACACACATGACATGGTATAATGGGTTGAAAAATTAGTTTCACCAAGTTAGTTATGCTGGAGTTCCCCTTGAACAACAAACTTCAGGGAATAACCTGTTAAAGGAGGAGTTTGGGGGTTCTCTGCCATTTCAAACAAATTGGCAGGTATTTAATAGCTTCTATGGTTTTTTTTTTTAATCTGTAGTTGGCATGCTCCTTAGCTTATATCATTTGGGCTTATTGATACAGATAATTGCTGAGATGAGGTCCAATGCTTTTTCCATGTGTATGCCCTAGGTTTTTATGTTTTATTGGCATGCTCCTTACTTTTTATACTTGAGATTTTTTACATCTCTTTGGTATCTGTCTTCCAACTCAATTTCAATAATTGAGCAAGGCTACTATCAAATGTTATATTGTCTCCATTTACGCTTAGTATTCGCAACCGTAAACCGGCAAGAACCGGCAAGAAACGAACAAGAATCGGGGTAAACCGAACCCTACAGTTCTAGTAATAAATTTAAGCAGAACCGCACTGAACTGAATCGTTGATATTTTCCGGTTCCGATTTAGGGGTGGAACCGCACCGTACCCACCCCTATCCCCCGTATTTTCGGGCAAGCTTTGGAGTGTCTCCATGACAAAACCATAAGCAACTTTGTTTCCAAACCAGCAATTAAAACTTTTAAACCAAAATAACGAAAATTTAGTTATTGAAAAGCAGAACACATAATTTAGGAAAACAAAAAGGTAAATAAAATGAAATTCATGAGTTTAATAATATAAAATGAGATTAAAAACTAGACGAAAAACTTAAATTATCAACCCAAACTTAAAGATTGGATCAGATAATGTTAGAGAAACTAAATTTGTAGACAAAATTTTGTAAACAAAATCACATGAAAGTTGATGATTGGATAATTACTTAAGCGTTGATAAACGTGCTCATTTCCATTGGTGACATATCATTTGTTTTACAAATTCAATCTCACTAGCATTATCCGAATCAACACACAAAAATTTAAGTAACCAAATAAACCTAGACTCCTTATTATAGATTAATCTAGACTTCTTCAATTGTCCATTTTATTGAAAGTTTCACATGTAATAGTAGAGGGTTAATTAGGAATGACGAACCCTAGATGAATCAGTGGATGCATATCGTGCACTGGCTTTAGGATGTCTAGGATGTCTAGGACGTTAACGTTCCACCAATTTCCAATGAATGGCAATTCTTTAGAGGGTAATTAATTAGGTGTCTCCTAATTATTTACTCGTTACGTTTGGTAAATTTTGGTTGTAGCTGCGAAACCTAGTTAGCGAGCAGTTAATTTCAGCCAACCAAGTTCTTCAGGGTGATTAATTAGTAACCATGTAAGGTGGGATTTTACCTTTGAGTACATATATTCAAATTTAATGAAGGGTGGTGCCATCAAATCTTTCTCAATTCATTAGATTTAATGGTCGGAAATTAAAAGGAGTGTGAAATGTAAAAGAAAGTGTGGAACCTTAATGAAAACAATTAAATTTTTATGTTACGTATTAAATTAATAGTAATGATATTGATTCGAAAATGAAAACAATATAATTTTCTCTCTAATGGATTTGTTTATCAATAATCTTTCGGAATAATGGATCACATAATTCTTCTTACCGAATTAGATCGAATAATTTGTCGAATGAGCATTCAAGTCTCCTTCAACTTGAATTCTTTTGAGCATTTTTTGCCAGAACAATACTTGACTACTCAAAGAAGAAGGAGGAGTTCCTACTTAAAATTATTCGTTGTCGCTTTATAGAACTCTATTTTTATAATCAGAAAATTATTCGTTGTCGCTTTATAGAACTCTATTTTTATAATCAGAATCATTCATATTATAAATCACTCTATAAAGATCCCCTCTGTAAAAAAATCAACTAAAATTAAGGTAGTTTAGTCATCGAATTGTGTAAAAAAAAAAAAAAAGGATGGAATTGGTAAAAGCATTACAAATTGTCTATGTATTTGCTAGAATAGGTTAACTAAACGACCTTAGTTTTAATTCATTTTTTACATAAATGATCTTTACAATGTGATTTATAATATGAATTGACACGCCCCAAACATCTGGATGGCCACGTGTTGGCCGACACACGAGGGTGACGAAAGCCATTTAATGAATGCATATGCTGAGAACATGTGAAACATGCATATAAATTTCGCTCGAACTAAAAAACTAATATACTAATATTCAACTTGGTCCACTCATGTTTGTTTTGCGCTCGCTCAGGACATAGGAACGAGGAATACGATCCAAGATACGAGGCATTCCCCTACCAGTGATACCGCATCATCCTCTTTGCTTTGACTTCTATTGTAATAGCACCTCTCTATTTATTCTTCTGCTTGTACTCTGAATTAGTTGTATACTCTGGACATGTCATGCATTATCACTATCTTTATCATTGTTGGCAGTTGAATAGTAGTATATTATTTTTTGTAGTTCGAGCGAAATTTATATGCATGTTTCACATGTTCTCGGCATGTGGCAGAGTATGTGCGGAGATGCATTAATTTTCAGCAGGTGAAGGTAGAGAGACAAAGACCTAAGGGTCTAATGCAGAACCTCCCGATACCAGCATGGAAGTGGGAAGACATCACCATGGATTTCGTGTATGGTTTGCCAAGGACACAGTCGAGGTTTGACTGCATTTGGGTGATTGCAGGAGCCTGCAAGCGACATACTTATATTGACCTTCGGGTTAGGTGTTGTAGGAGCGGTGATGATACTTATATTGACCTTCGAGTTGGGTGATGTAGAAGCCTGTGGGCGATGATACTTATATTGACCTTTGGGTTGGGTTGGGTGCTGTAGGAGCCTACATGCGATTGATACTTGTGAAGGAAGTGTTCTGAAGGAAGAGTTCTATATGCCTTTGGGCGATATTGATATCACTAGTTAGCACACTATATACGAGATATGTTTTATGAAGGTTTTATGGCATGCTAGGGTTTTCAGAAACCTATTACATATTATGCTATTAGTTTTCATAAAACTTTGGGGGTTAGTATGTTGATAACTATTTTAGTATTATATATTTGGTCCAGTCATGTTTGTTTTGCGCCCCCTCAAGACATAGGAACGAGGAATACGATCTGAGATACGAGGCATTCTCCTACAAGTGATACCGCATCATCCTCTCTACTTTGACTTCTATTGTAATAACACCTCTCTATTTATTCTTCTGCTTGTACTTTGAATTAGTTGTATGCTCTAAACATGTCATGCATTATCACTATCCTTATCATTGTTGGTAGTTGAATATTAGTATATTATTTTTTGTAGTTCGAGCAAAATTTATATGCATGTTTCACATGTTCTCGACATATGCAGAATACTAACGAGCACAGTGTCTGTGGTGAATTGCAATTTATCACGGGCTTTCACCGTGATAGATGAGCTTTTTTCTTCTAGTGTCTTAAATAATGCACCAAATCAAACTTAAAAGAGCTGAACAGAATTATGTTGATGATTAGCAATTTAGCACACAAAATTTTTAACGAACCAAATAAATACAAAACAGAAGGTGGTAGTACTAGGATGATCAACGGTTGAGATGAAATAAGAAAAGATCCAACGGTGATTAAAGAATACAGACCAGCGGCATTTCACTAGAAAAGGTGGTGTTGCTTCTCCACCTCCTCATTCTGTTTCAAACGTCTGAGAGCAAAACAAGAGAGCAGAGAGAGAGAAAACAAAGATGTTGCTGCAGAAAGAGAAGTTGCTTTGTGTCATTGCTGCTGCCATTTTCCTAATGGCTTCGCTTTTATCTGCAGAGGCTCAACAAGGTTTGCCTTTAATCCTGCCTTGAAATTTTCACTTTCTTTTATCATCTTTTTCATGCCCTCTCTTAAGCTTGAGTGAAACTACTGTATTGTGGAAACACCAAAACTACGTACTCATTTAAAACCTTCAACAATTTTTAAAAGACGTATAGTTGTTTGTGTTGCTTTATTTTGTCGACGGTTGTTCCAAATATCCTTGTTCAAAACTGTTTTTATATTCTTATATTTAAGGCACCTGTTCGTTTAGTTTTTAGTTTCTCGTTTGTGATTGCCTTTTCTCCGTGAAAAATCTGTTGATTAAATCTTGTTGAGTCCATGAAAAAACTTATTTACTTTTAGTCTTTTAGGTGTTCATTCTTTTTTAGAGTGTAACAACTTGTAATGTTTTTTTTCTTTCTAGAATCAGTTAATGCTAATAATAAAAATAGCTGCTTCGAATCATATGATAGACGATCGATAGTGTTGTCTAGGGCACTTTCAGATAACTTGTGTTTCAATTGATGTTAATCACTTGCCCTGTGTAATTATGCAACTCTTGCCAATCTTTTTCTCTGCCTATGCCTTTTATGTTTACTCTTTCATCATATGATGATCAATCAAGTTTCCTACTTAGCACAATTAAATGGTGTTGTTGCAGTTGAGGTGATGAACTCAAGCAGTGCTGCACCCACTCTCGAACTTAACGTTCACCGGGCTGATTTTCCGGTTGATTTTTTCTTTGGAGTTGGCACTTCAGCTGCACAGGTATATACATTGATGTTAAAAATGGTTAATTTACTCATACACACACACACACACACACACACACACACACACACACACACACACAGAGACACGCTATATTGGACCTCGAAAAAGATTTTGTGATAATGCAAAAATATCGCGATAGTCTAAATGAGTTCGATTCTTTCGTGATATTGCGCAATACCACACCGAATGCCTCGTGATCCTATATTGGTCCTAGTCCTTCTGTCCCTCCTATTCTTCTTTTTGTAATCGGTTTATGAATATTTGTAACTTTGTGAATGATCTTTATAAGTTGAACATTATGTTTGGAATATTTGGATTTTTATTTAAGTGCAGTGTGTTTTTGAACTTGAAGCATATGTATTTTGGTAGTTTATTATGCATTAATGAGAAATTATTGTTAAATTATATGTGTTTTGGTGCAAGTATATTTATATATTTATTCATTACTATTCTCGAATAGCTTATGCGAAATCGCCCCGACATTGCATAGTAAAACGTCCCACGCAACGCCTTATGCATTGCGATTTCAAACTATGATTTATATATATAGCCTCATACTTTCTTAGATCACTAAACATATTAATGTGATGTTGTGCAGACGGAAGGGGCAGCCGAAGAAGAAGGGCGATCCCCGAGTGTCTGGGATCATCGTGCCAAAATACTCCCAGGTTCACTTAACTTTCATTATCTTTTCTTCATATCTTTCCAATTATAGAATCCTCATCTCACAAGTTTCAGTTGCAGGTGCGATTCGACAGAGTGACAAATTCCCTAAGGCAATTGATGGATACAGACGATTCATGGTGAGTAGCAAAAAGGGTCAAAACATATATCTTTGAGAATGCAAATAATTGTTTTGAAATTTAAAACTAATATATTGTATGGTATAATCTGCATTATAGGAGGACATTCAGCTTATCAAGGAGCTTGGAGTGAACTCCTATAGATTCTCCGTTTCCTGGACAAGAATTCTACCACGTTATTTTCCTTTCTTTCCCGTCCTTTGCTTTCGTTTTAATTCCATTTAACATTTTTCTTTATCTTCTTCTTGTTTAAGTTAATTTGATCCTTTATAACAAAATGATGGAGGCTCATGTTGATGAAACCTATGCAGAGGGAACCATAAGTGGTGGAGTTAACCAACTTGGTGTAGATCATTACAATCGTCTGATCAATGAATTAATAAGAAATGGTAAATAAAGTTCACTTCTGAAAGTTGATTAATTAGTAATTTAGTACTGCTTGGGGCATGTATACTTTTTGTAACTTTAGTTTCTTGTTTACGCTTCATATTTTCTCAGGATTTGTTTGATTTAACGTGTTTCCTGTGTCCTAATGCAGGCATCGAGCCTTTTGTCACGATCTATCACTTTGACTTACCCCAAGTTCTGCAAGAGAAGTATGGAGGCTTGACGCATCAAATGTTTCTGTAAGTTTAATCTTGTAGAATTATCATGTATTGTTTATTTAGAGTTTCATTTCGTTTAATAAATCACTTCATCTCTATCTGATATTGTGAACACGAGTATATATGAAAAGCAAAGTCGCCTCTGATGATTATCGAGGCTCATCATATCTTTCTCTTCTTCTACTTCATGCTTTCTCCTTCTTGTGCTTAATCTTTTATATATCCATGGAACCTTTCTCCATCTTGTAAATAATACGGTCTGTTTTTGCAGGAAAGACTTCAGCGATTATGCTGAGCTCTGTTTCAAATTATTTGGAGATAGAGTTAGGCATTGGTTCACCATTAATGAGCCAAATGTTCTTGCACAATATGGCTACGAGCTTGGGATTGCCCCACCAGGAAGGTGCTCACTTCCACAACGACGTTGTGGTTTGGGATCCCCACCTCGATGTATGGTGCCTGTCGGTCCCTGTAACTTTGGTGGTAACTCGTCCACGGAGCCTTACATTGCTGCCCACCACATCATCCTTGCTCACGCCACTGCTGTGAAGCTATATAGAGAGAGATACCAGGTTAAACTTATAGAAACCACGTTCATCTCTATTCAAAGTTCAAAACTCATTGAAGGAATCTTGATAAAGTTTTTTTTGAATGTCATCTTGCAGGTAGAGCAAAATGGAGAGATCGGAATCGTCCTTGCTACAAAGTATTTTAAGCCCTATTCTAATTCACAGGAAGATCGAGCTGCAGCAGAGAGACTGTTTGATTTCTATCTAGGATGGTCAGTATAACTACTAATGATAACTTTGAGAAGTCCATTAATTAATTTAATTTCATTAGCAGTTGATTAATATTAGCTTCTTGTTAAATTTGCATTAGGTTTATGGGACCGTTGGTACTTGGAAAATACCCACAAAGCATGAGAGAGCTGGTGAAGGAAAGGCTGCCCACATTTTCCGCCGACGAGATATCTCTTGTCAAGGGGAATTTAGGCTTTGTTGGGATAAACTATTATGAATCAGTTCAAGCGAAATATAGGCCTCCTCCTCCTACAGAGAATCTGAGCTATTCCTTCGATTCATGGGCGGAAGAAAAAGGTAATGTACCGTACTTGCCATAGCCAAAATGGGAGAAAATAAATAAAACAAATCAAGCATAAGTATAGGTTATAACCTTTTATGTTTCTTGATTTGTTTGGTTATTGCAGTTATCAAAGATGTTCCTGGTGTGGTAAGAAACTTCTAACCTTTTATGTTCTTGCTTGTTTTTTATCACAGTTCTTGATGCTTTCTTGGATGAAATTTGTGCTTACGTTGTCCTTGTGGTGCAGTCCGAGAACCATTGGCCACAAGGGCTGCAGAAGCTGATGAACTATGTGAAGAATAAATATAGTAGCCCACAAATCTACATTTCTGAAAATGGTTGGATTTCTAACTTATGCTTCGGTTAATCCACATATGTTTGAAAGTATCCAATTACTAATGCAAGTTATCACAGAACGTTAACATGAATTGTTACATCTGCTGTAACTTTGACAGGATATGGTAATCCAAAGAATGACAGACTTCCGCTTGATGAACAACTAAAAGACCCAAATCGAATCTCCTATATTGCTCGGCATTTGTATTGGCTCAATAAGGCAATGAAGTAAGTGGTGTAATTTCTTGATTACCATAAATCGACTCAATGTATAATCACATTCTTATCCGGTTTATCGCAGGAACGGAGCAAATGTCAAAGGATACTTTTGCTGGGCTCTGTTCGATGACTTTGAATGGGGTATAGGGTTGTCTCAGCAAGTTGGACTCTACTACATTGATTTCGATGACAACTACAAGCGCTACCCCAAGCAATCTGCTAAGTGGTTCCGTGATTTCAACCACAACAGTGCTTCAATTAGTAGATCGACTTAGTTACATAATCTCTCATTCTGGTTTTATGCAGTACATACTTCATATTTTTCTATAATCAAGACTCTCACGTGTGTGACTTTAAACAATTTATGTATGCTATGAAGAATTTTCTGTTCGATTTGTGGTATCCATCTGTTATCGTGGTAAGAATACTTGTGTAGGACAGTTTAGGTTAGGTTACACTTCATAAATATAAAAATGCAAATAAATCCAAACTGAGTTTTCAATTTTGTTTCGCAATTTAATTAGTACTGAAAAGAGGTCACACTGAGTTTTCAGTGTTTTCAAACCTGAGTTCAAACTAGAGAGAGCTCAGATGTTCACTAATTTTTCCTTCTGGAATATAAGGCTCGAAAAATTCAATTTACTGCTTGAACGAACAGAAAAGTTCAATTTACACATGCACTATATGCAATCACATCTCGGTTTCACTACTGGAAGAATCTTCGAAAAGACCAGCATTGCTCGCCTGTTCGGCTCTATAAATTTTCTGTGTCCCCTGTAGGCAAGGTGACCCTGCTAGTTTCATTACTTTACACATTGAAATGCTTGCCTGCATTGCTTGGCCCACGTTCCACCATGTGAGTACAATACAAAGACATAACCCTAGCTCAGAGACACAAAGTAGTCAATGGCAACTAGAGCTGAAGACTTGTATGTATTGGTTGTAGCTCATGTTCACTTGTCCATGGAGGTATTCGGGTTGAGACTCTCGAACCTTGGGGATGATGTCATCATATTTAGGGCCTAAACCGGTGAGACATCTGGTCCTGACTGACATATTTATCTCTAGCCGGAGACCGAGTGCAAAGTAAAGCTCTTCAATCCAAATTCTCTATGGAAGTAGATTCTAAGTTCTCAAACTGGTGATCACAAAGCTGCCTGAAAACTAAAGCGAATGTGGAAATGACGATTACCTAACATTCAATACATATATGAAACTAAGAAGGGTAGCATGGGTGAGATAAATGAAATTCCCAACAAGGAAATGGAGAGAAAGATACAAGATTAGGGTTTAGGATTTAGGGTTTAGCAAAATGGGTTTTAATGATTAAAATTGAGAAGCAACCTCCTGATATCACCTAGAAAGTAATCTGCACTTTTCGCCTGCATCTTGCCCATGATGCACCAATGTGGCAAAAACAACAATCTGATCTCCTTCTGTCTAGGAAATTTTCATCCTATCTTTTCCCCTTCTATTCTACATAGCGGCGCAGACCGAGTAAATATGAGCTAACATTCCTTATGCGGGCGTGCCAATTTGCGACCAAGCTCGGTCGGTTATGTAGAATAGATGTGGTGGTGTTGAATGCGCTGCTGACTTCTGTACTTAAGCGACTATGGCAGAGGATGGAACATGTCTCGGCCATGGGTTCTATAACCTGAAGAAAATGTCACCTTGTTCACTGCGAAGTTCAGAATCTCCTGCAACAGGTGTTGCCACTTCGACTATATTCGTGAGAATATAGGTGCGCAAAATCAGTATTAGGTTGTAAGGTCACATGCATTCAAGGGAGTTATGCATTTCATTAATGTGGTTCAACCATCTGAATGTCGAACTGCAAAATGCACATGAGAGTAACGAATTATAGAACACTTCACTCTGCTAGGAAGTGAATGAAGTAACCTCATTATGCAAAAGAATTGAAAACTCTTCGCCAATCGAGACTTGGATTGATAACCAACTGAAGGTTCTGTTGAATCATCTAGTTCTACGGCTCCATTATTGTTTACTTATCCAAACTGAAGATGTTGTCGGTTGTCAAAACAATGATGTTTACTTATCCAAACTGAAGGTGTGTACAATAGTTAGTAATTTTCTTAAAGGCATGAGAAAGATTTCGCGTAGAGCATTTTGAGTTGTTTGTTGAGTTGAAGGGGGCCTCTCATGTTGCAGTAACCTCTTTTATTTATAGGGATGGTTTTGAAGAATAATCAGGTTTGCCGAGGTAAAGTCTTGATAGGACTGTGTCACTGGCCAGTTACCTGAATAATTTCTTTATCCCCTTTTATCCCTTCCTTAGTCACCTTTATCCAGTCTCTCGACATCTTTGATTCAAACCAGGATTATGAACTCTTAGTCTTTTTGTGAGATTAATTCATCTTTATCTGATCAAAATGAATTCTGATCTTTAGAATAATTCGCATCCAAACAAAGACCATCTTCATCCTTGACAATTTTAGTCCACTAAAGACTCGATCGAGCCACATCTAAACTTAATCTATTTACAATCCCACTTCCATGAGGACTCAGTCGAATCAGTCCTTTCGTAGGCTAAAAGCTCATTGGCCTGAGGGATCATTACTGGGCCGATGATTATGGCTTTTTAACTTGGGTTACCTCGTTCTTAGCCCATGCTGTTATTTTAAGCCTAAACGTAAATTACAAATTCTAAGAATTATTCAGACATGAAAATTTATGTGTCCGATTCAAACAATAGAATTTAAATTAAAGAGATTTTAATTGCATTGAATGGTAAACTTTTGTCGTTTTGTTCCTTTTTTTTTTTGGTCGAACTTTTGTCCTTTCGAATCCATGAAAATTAGTACTTCTCTATCTAAAATAGCATAATAGATTTAGCCAAATAAGGAAACTCAAAAATTCTAGAAAATAGAATTTCATCATTTTAAAATTTCATTACATTCTATTTGGATGAGGAAATTTAAGATTATTAAGGAATTTTAAAATGACGAAAATTGAAATGACAGAATTTTATTTTCTAGAATTTGTTAATTTTTCTTTTTTGGTTAACCTAAAAGAACAATTGAATTTGAATACAGAATTTGTTATTTTTAAACTCTTACTCATAGAAATTTGGAAATGACACATATTTACATGAAATTCAAACTTGGGAATTGAAAGTCTTAAATTCCAAGTTTTATTTCCACGCGGAAATTCTAAATTTTTATGTTTATGAATCCAAACAGGAAAATTAGTGCATATCAATTTATAAATTCTACCTTTTAACAAAATTCTAAATTTATTTTCCTTATCCAAACATAATGGTATAATTTTCAATTTCATTACTCAAATGCAGTCATTCATAAAAATATATAAAAAAAATTGTGTTACTCTAATTTGATATTCTTTGACAGAAAGAAACGAAACTTGGGGTATTTTGTGGTGAATTTTCAACGTGACCATCACACTGCCTTTGATGCGGTAAAGATTAATTGCCAACTATTCATGTATAGTTTAGCAATAGGAAGACAGCAACCCACTGTTTTCTACTTCTCTTCAAAGCCTTTGATTTGTTTACATTTGGGAGAGGTTGTTTAAAAGCTCTTTTCACCAATGCTTTGTGGCATGGTAAGCCCTCTCTTAAAAGCTCAAGGCAGCAACCTGGTTCGATGTCTACACTGTCTTCATAGAGAATATTATAGTATATTTCTTTCCCACAAATCTCGTCAAATCCGATGCTGCTGCATTCTGGCGGATACACGATTGAAGTTGAAAGTGATTCCGATGAAGAAAGGGGTGATTCCGATGGAGAAAGGGTTAATCTGGTTGCAAATGCTGGCGATATTATTGTTGTTACAGCAATCACCAAAAACAGAATTGTAATACTATAATTTATAACTCCTAACAAGCTGATTCAGAATTATTATTATTAGCAAACTAATGCCCATGCATTTCTCATCTTTTGTGTTTTTTTTTTTGAACAAACGATATAATACCTGCGAGAGAAATTCTGAAGTACACCCAACTATAATACACACATTGGTGATATACCCAGTGCATCATCAAATTGTGCATGGATTAACTTGTCAAAACATTAACAAAACGTAACGTGAGTGCATTTCAACACTCCCCCTTAATGTCGTTGTGTTCATTTCCCTTGATCTTCATTCTTCTTAGCTTCAACGTGCTAACATCGGATTTACACAATTGTCTTCACTTCTTGCTGCCTTTTTTTCAGTTTTCTTCCTTCTTCTTATCAACCAATTCCCTTCAAGTGCAAACTTTAACATTTATTAGCTGAATTAGAGCTCATTTCGGTGCCATTTGCATGTCCAATTCAGGTTAAGGTAGTGGCTTAGCCAGAATTTTGAGTTCGATTCCTATAAATTCGAAGAAAACTCACACAATTAATGAACCAGAAAATTTGAGTCCAATATAGAGTTCCTAATGTTTCTCTAATGGCACTAGAAAATGCCTGTACTGTGTCTACACATGCACTCAGGCACAGGATATGCAATCACATCTCGGTTTCTCCTGTAACCCCTTGGCTCCAGCTGCCCCTGAGACTTCTTATGCAACCCTCTCATGATGCTTCCAAACTCTGCATCACTGATGGAGTTGTCTTCGAAAAGAGGCAGCATTGATCGCTTGTTCGGCTTTATAAACTTTCTGTGTCCTACGTAGGCACGGTGACCCTGCCAAGTCAAAAATACAAATTGAAATCGAGAACATTTGATCAAACGTAATGATTTAAAGTTTAATTTTACACAGAACTATCAGAATAAAGAAAATTTTGAGTGCTTACCTGCATTGCTCGGCCCATGTTTCCACCATGCGATGGAACAAAGACATCGCTGCTCAGAGACACAGTGTAGTCAATGGCAGCCAGAGCCGAAGCCTTGTTCATGTATGGAGAGAGTTCTCCATCTCGCGCCAACATCTCCTTTGTCACCAAATTTGGAAACTCGTCCACAAGTGGCTGCAGAGCCCTGCTGCCTCCAAATGCCTCGCCTCCTGCGCTGTATATCCGAGCACCTCTTGGTGCGCCTAAAGCTTTCAAAAACCTGCATTAAACATCCAACTTCAACAATGGTCCAAAAATAAAACTAGGAAATTACAACTCTGCATTTCTACTCCTATATATACCTTGCTATTTCTAAAGCATTTAGGGGGCAAAGTCCAGCAAGTTTCCGCTGGGTGTAGCTCATGTTTAACCGTCCAGTGAGGTATTCGGGTTGAGACTCCCGAACATTGGTGATCACATCATCATATTCGGGGCCTAAACCAGTGAGACATCCAGTTCTGACCCACACATCCTTCTCTAGCCGGAGATGGAGTGCAATGTAAGGACC